CTATTATACAATATTAAAACATAATTAAAAATCAATCTAACTAAAGAATTAGACCTTAATTAAGTTAAAAAAGTATAATAAGAAAAACATACCTAAGAACAGACACAATATATAAATTCTTTCAGAAAATCCAATGCACAACGTTCACTTCAACATCCACATGTAGCATAAGCAACATCTCTTTGCAAATCCGTATTCATCACTCTATATGAAGAAAAATTGAGTGTGAGTACAAAATTGAAAATGGATAGGTATTTATAAATAATGTTAGGCACGGACTTAGGCACAGAGCTTGCCACAGAGCTAACCTACCTCCCAACGGCTACATAATTGGCACAACATTTTGGCACGCCTACGACAATGGTAACATTTTGGCACAGTCTTAGGCACGAGATTCGGCATGCCTAGATAACGGAAACATTTTGGCACAAAAAGTGGCACGCCCATGGCACGGTCAAGCCAACGGTAATATTTGAAATTACGGTGTGAATCAGTTCATAGGATATGATATGATGTTCAAATCCTAACTCAAATTAAAAGTGGGGTGGTTTCCCAAAATACGGGAAAGCTTAACATGGGGTGCCAAAATACGGGGAAAAGCTAGGGTTTCCTAATTTATGGGAGTCGGAATTCTCTCTTCCGACTAGGGGAAGGGTTTTGAAAAATTTTACACCCCCTAGTCGGATTTCCCTAATCCGACCACATTAATTTCTTTCTTTTTTTTAATTCGGAGCACCTTCCAACCTTCTCCTCTATCACATCATCAATAGAATTATGATAATACGGAGTACATGATAATACAGTTAAGTGTTACGTAGTATTTTATTTTGAAGGTTTACACATAAATTCCAAAATTCATGTACTTGTTACACATGAATAATTCATGTGTTTATTCGACATTTTTTTAATTTAATTATTTGTTTATTTGTAGTAAGGTTAAGTTTATTATTTATTTGTATTTCTGAATTTTAAAATGAAAATTATGGAGATTGATTTTTTGTACTATCAAAATATTGGTTACTTTATTTAATTTATTAATCCATCCGTATTGTGAATTGAATTCATAAAATGAAATACAAATTTGATTTTGTTTAGAATGCAACTTTTGTAATTTCAATGAAAGTGAACAAAATAAATGTTGTTTTCAATGTAATTTATTAACAAATATGTACATACAATAATTCCCCCCGGCCACCCACAGTCACGATGTCACGGTTTTCGTCATCGTCTTCGTTCAATGGTAGGTTGGGTGCTCGGCCCTGATATGTCCCCGCCGCCAGTGTTCCAAACCCCCGATGTGTCTTCATGCTAAAATGGCGAATCCGTAAATGTGGGAAAATATCCATCCGGCTGTGTAGAGTACTGATAAGAATCAAAACACGCCGTGAAATCTTGATGCGTTGACAATTCAGGGTCAGTTGTGCCTTCACCTTCATCTTCATCCGCATCATCCTCTTCCTCGTTTCCACCTTCATCTTCGTCTTGATCACGGAGACCATACCTACGACCACGGGTGAGATCATCTCTTTGTATATCTGGCGTATGACGAGGGACGGGATCAGACTCATCTTGTGCATCCAGGTAAATGAATACGCCCCGGTGGAGTATCTCTTCATCACCTACATCCAGGGTCAACCGCTCTAGCGGTTCTTTAATGTGCTCATTACTCGCCTGGTTGGCGGTGAGCTGATACACTTCGTAAAAGCCTTGCTTCTGCATAAAAATGTAACACGTGTAAATAATATGACCAACTGTTAGCATTCTCACTCTCAACAACAACATACGCAAGAGGAATTATCTCACGGTTAGCATTCATCGCTACCGCAACTAGAAGAACCCCCTTGTATTTGCCGTATAAGTGGGTGCCATCAACCGACACTACAAGTGAGCAAAATCTGAAACCGTCTATAGTAGCTTTGAATGATCAGAACACTCGGCGGAATTCGTACGTATCGGGGGTGCCGGTCTGTTGTGATTGGAAATGAACAACACTCCTCACATTTGAAAATTGTATAGCTCCCAACAACTTAGGAAGTTCATTATATGACGCCTCCCACATTTAAGTATTTATTAAACTATTAACAATAAATGACAACACATAAAACCAAATCATTTTAAATTCTATTTAATTTCAACAATATACAGCGGGAGATTTGTAGTTCTCAAACGTTTGGGGGTTGTTTTTCCGGCCATATTCTGATGATGGGCCCTCCTCTCTGGGAGCTTCGTGGAACATCAAATTTTGTGGCAGGGTTGTTGACAGGGATCCGTTTACTTTATGGTCAGTCAAACATCGTAAACCGCGTGAGAACCTTGAAGTGGGACGGAGGTAGTATATATTTATTTTTATTCATGCAATATTATATTCTTAATATATGTAATGTACGTTTATACACTTATGCATGTATATTAGTATATTAATACAACACAAATCAATCAGAGTTTTTAAGAAAAAGTCATAGTACCTCTGTCCCACTAAGATTAAGAAAAGTGGCTTTGTATGGTTGATATTAAATTGATAAAGTAAGAATAAAGAAAAAAATGATTTAGAACCACACAAACTTTACCAAATTTGGTATGGGACAATCTTAATGGGATTTCCCGAAAAGGTAAAATGAGACAATCTTAGCAGGACGGATGGATCGGAGTAACATTTTTACAATTAATTATACCTTGGATTTTATACATAGGTCACACGAGTTTTTATTTATAGGTCTACGTACTAAGAATTCATTTAAGAAAGAAACAGTTAGTGTGTGTACATTAGTTTTGCACTACTCACATAATCTATTTTAATTTAAAAATTATATTATGATCGAAAAGTAATGTTAAATTTGTCTCTAATGTAATTTAATTTTCAAAATTGAATCATTTAAAATTAGTATCAAACAATCAATAGACAATTCAAAACATTAATTGTCAAAGTTGTTATGCCAAAGTGTGAAGCATGGTGAGATTAATACAACTAAATTAAAATGGATGAAACTAAATAATTAAGAAGAAAAGTATTATTCTTTATGCGCAATGTCTGATGTATTTAATTTGTACAACCCTCGTGTCGGATTACCCAATTCCGACTTGGGGTTTATTTATTTTTTCAAAATCCCCTTGTCGAATTACGCAATTCTGACCACAAGTTTAACCTAATTTTGAGCTTCTCCTCTAGTCTGAACGGCATTTTGGTAAACAAAAAAGTCCCGCTTTTTCGTAAATTCCTCTTAAAAGTGAGACCACATCAAATCCCTATTTTCAGCAAATATCTATGACTATGATGGCCAATCCTGAATCCTGCGCATTAGACACTTGTCATATATTATGAGAAATTGTAGATGAGTTATAAAATGGAAGAATTATATTTTTTCCCCATTGAATTGGAGTTCCTGAAGTTTTTGTTTTGTTGTACTTTCTTGTATATTCTAGTATATACGGAGTATATTCTATTAAATGTTCAGTTTGGGCTGATATCTAATTCTTGTCTAGGTTGGGTCCACCACAAAAAAACACAGGATTGGGAGTGATTTTGGCACAGATTTGGCATAAAACACTTCAGCATGAGCTATTTGGCATGAAAAATCGGTAATTCCGTGCCAAATTTCGTGTCAATCTCATAATTTTTTTGCAGTGGCCGAAGTTAAGCTAAGTATCTGTTTCTGAATTTGGGTTATGGGTCAAACCCGTAGTACCATAAAAAAATACTAATGGACAAAAAATTAACTAAAGTGACTATGAACATATAGTTATAGTCATTAAGATGCAATATGTAGTATTCATACATCATTATAGTTAGTAAAAATTATGAGTTCACATTTTTGATAAAATATTTGGAAAGATCTTTAATACTTGAGAAAATGATAAGGAGTACAACCAAAATTAGTGGCGATTCCTAATTATTTTTAGGACTAAATAGGTTTTTATTCCGAACTTAATTGTTATCTATATGTATGATATGTATTGTGATGATATTTATCTCTCTTAATTTCAATTATGACTCATATGAAGTCATGTTTAATTATGTTTGATAGCATATACTCCCTAGGCCCCTAAAATATCTTTCAAAGTGCATTTTGCACGTGCATTAAGAAAGTGTAAAATTGTGTGATGAAGAGTTGTGCATAGGATAGATTTTTTTTTTAAAATGTGTAAAAAATGTCGTGAACTACAAAGTTTTTGTCAAAAATAGAAATGGATGATTATTTTAGAACACAGTTAAAAAAGAAATTTGGAATACGATTAAGGGACGGATGGAGCATTAACATTCTATGGATGTTTAAATCACATTTGGGTAATTTCCCTATAATACTTGGTACGGAGTATTAAACAATTAGGAGTATACAAGATGGTATTGACTATCAAGTCGTAAACTCTCAATAGTAATGGAATCAAGTGATTCAAGTCTGATCTACTGAAATTTACTCTGTAATTATTAGGGAGATTTCCAAAAATAGGAGTAAATGAAGTTTGAAATTTCAAAATAGAACTATTATGTTTTTATTCTCGAAATAGGGCTAACATGACAGTATTAACTGTCATCTTGTAGACATGACTGTCAAATAGTTGCAGTACAGTGCATTTAATATGACAGTATTTATTATAATTAATGACAGTATTTTTTAATTATGACAGTATTTTTCATACATGGCAGTAAAAACTCTTATTTCAGGAAGAAAAACATAGTAGTCCTATTTTGGAATTTCAATCCTCATTTACTCCTATTTAGGGTAATTTCCCTAATTATTAACATTGTTTGTTGACCATGTTTATGCACTATATATGTTTTTCATGCCCGCTTGACCTGTTACGTAGTAGTATAAGTCAAGTATGGATTACGAGTACAAATACACACAATCGCTGGACGGAAGAAATCAAATTGGACATAGAAAAAAAGAGATCATTCTAATAGAGTAGTTTTATTATTATTATTATTGTGGTTTCCTATTGTAATTAGAACCCTTTTTAACTATAAATATATTTGTCATGACTACCATTAAGGTTAAACCTGATATTATTTCTCTGATGGTATCGAGAGCCACTTCTAAAAATCCCTGATTTTTTTTTCCTGCTGCGATATGTCTTCCGCGCCTCAACCGTCCACCGCAGCCTCTTCTACGCAGCCTCAGTCCTCCGCAGCTGCTCAATGACGTCGCCGGGTGTTTCTCCTGCTGATTCCGCCGCACAGCAACTTCCGATTTCCTCACAGTCGCACACTGCCTTCTCTCAGCCGTGGATGCCGCCGCCTCCTACGACGGATTTCAGCGCCTGGAACCCTCCTGTCTTTACCTGGACTCCGACATCTCCTGCTGTCCGTCCACCAGTGCAGCCCGCCGTCTCCTTTGGCAGAAGCCCCTCTCCGTCTACTGCGTCTATTTCTGAGTTTGCTGGCCCAACGTTTGCTAGGGCTCCAGGAATTACACCACTGCGTTCTCCTGGTCCCATAGCTCCACGGACTCCTGCTGCCCATACAGGTTCAATCCTGTCTGATTTAGTTAAGAACATTGGTTTTTCTGCCCTTAATATTACTAATATTGTGACAACCAAACTGGCTGCGGTAGAGGACCATTTGCCTTGGCGTACTCAATTTGAGTCTTTCTTAGTCTCCAATGGTTTTTGGGAATTTTAGATGGTTCAATTCCTGCTCCTACTCCCTATATTTTTGATGCTTTTCATCTTGAGACAATCAATCCTGACTATTGTAATTGGCTAAAACTTGATCAAACGGTGCGCTCTTGGCTATTTGCTACATTGTCTCGTGATGTCTTAATTGAGGTGCATGAATTAAAGAATGCTTCCGCTATCTGGAGTAGGTTAGAGTCTCATTTTATGTCTGCTAGTCTTGCCCGCTCCATGGAATTGAAACGACAACTCACCCACTCTAGGAAGGCTCCTAATCAATCTATGGAACATTATCTTAGAGACATTAAAATTATTGATGATAACTTAGCTGCAATTAATGCCCCTATTTCTCCTCGTGAACTGTTTCAAACTATTTTACTTGGTTTGGGCCGTGACTATGAATCTCTTATTACACCGGTTGGGTTGTTTCCGGAGAGTTTCACTTTTGAAAAACTACGCACCAGTTTGGTTGAAAAGGAGCAAACCATTCAGTACATGCGTGCTTTAGAAGACCCTCCTCAAGCCCAAGCTTTTGCCGGTCAAACTCAGGCTGCGGGGCAGCCACCTCCACATGGCCAGCAGCAGCGCGGGAGAGGATATCGCGGCAGGGGTGGCCGCGGACAGCGGGGCGGAGGGGGCCGTGGACAGCGTGGTCGTGGCTATGGACCACCTCAACCTGGTTATGGTTATCCTCCACAGATGGGCTACAGTTACCCCCCGCCAGGATATGTTACAGGGGGTGCACCTCATACGGGTATTCTTGGGGCTCCGGGCTCGGCAGGTATGTGTGTTCAGTCAAATGTTTATACTTATGCCTTATCTACTTATTGTACTAACCGTAGTTATGCAGGCTCTTCATCTGTTGAAGGGAACTCTGTTCCTCCTCCTGTAGTTTGTCAGATTTGTTATGCTCCAGGTCATCCCGCCTCCACTTGTCCGTCCCGTTTTGTTCAGCCGGTTGCACCTGCTCTTGCTGCTCAGACTCTTGAAGCTTCTGACATTGTGTGGTATCCTGACTCAGGTGCCTCTGCCCATATGACTCCTCATCCAGGTATTTTGTCTAATAAAACCTTTTCTCCTAATTCTCATTCGATTATAGTAGCTAATGGTAATTCTCTCCCTGTTATGCATACTGGTGTGGCCATTTTGCATTCCTCTCCTCGCCCTCTTCACCTAAAATCTGTTTTTCATGTCCCTAATATTAAATATAATCTTTTATCCATTCAAAAACTATGTACTGATAACAACTGTGTTGTAACTTTTGATAAAAATTGTTTTTATGTAAAGGACAAAGCAACGGGGGTGGTTCTACTTCGAGCATTCAGTAATAATGGAATATCTACTCTAACAATGAGCATCGTGATCTGCTTTATATCTCAAATTAACTTTCTTTTTCTTATTTTTTCTATTATAAAAAGCTATTAAATTATCTCTATAATCAACCGCTAAGAATTTTAATATGTGAATCTAATGGAATATATGATACTTTTGAAATAAGCATTAATATGACATTTTAAAAATGAGCATAATTGCAGTACTAAATGAGCATGTGTAACTTACAAAATGAGCATTTATATGAAAATAATGAACTTTGTTAGTTGAGCATCCATACATTTTCACTAGACATCAAACCCCCCCTTTTGAGTATTAGAAATATGCAACTGAATATCATGATCTCTGCTCTCATGTCTATAATAAACTCTCTTGCGAATGTATAGTAATATGATAATTTTGAAATATGCATCGATATGACATTTTAAAATGAGCACAAAACCAATACAAGATGAGCATATTTAACTTACTAAATGAGCATCCAAGTAATTAAATAAGTCATATATAATATATGAGCTTCGTACGAAATATAGTATCGGGGCAGGTTCTGAGGGGACAAGAGGAACAACCGTCCTAGACCCGAAAAAATAGAAGAAAAGATAGTCTCAATTCTATTTCTTTATATATAGTGTGAGCAGACTTTTCTTTTATTCCTAAATCAATTAATTAGGCCTAATGTTTAATTATGTTGACAATTTGAAAATTTAAAACATAAATAAAGAGTCTTAAACAGAGCCATGTTTTAAAAAGAATATATACATTAATTTTAGTAGGATCGGTTGTAGTTTTTAAAAGCAATACAATTGTTATTGCATAAATAAAAGACACGTTTCTCCAGTCCTTACATCTCTTTAGCCTTTAAGATTTTTTATTCAATTTGATTATAACATAACAAATTTGTATAATCATTTTAGAGCATGTGTCTCTCAAATCTCACCCAAATATTTATTTGCTTTTCAAATTTCAATAACTATATCTGAGTTCCTAATAGTAGTTTTAGAGGACGTCAAATTTCTAGTCTTTTTGCATGAGTTCCTTGGCAACCAAACATTTTCTCTTTGAAAACATTCTTTCTTTCGAGACTTCAAACTTTAGACTCTCATCAGCGGTCAATAAATTATTCTCAACTTATAAATTCAATATGTAGTAATATTTCTTTTCATTCATCCTTTAAAACGAAAGTTTAGTGTTGTTATATGTGCCAATTTTATTTATTGTTTGACATATTTATTAGTGGAAACAAGGTTACCTATGAAGCGATTATTGATAATTTGTTTCACATTGTTCTACGAGAAACGTATTTAAGTAAGGTTTTTTCTTTTTATTTGATACTCGTGTTCTTACTTTTTCCCAAATATGTAACTTAAATAATAATAAAGTAATTCTCACATTTATTTTGTGAATTTCACTGGATACCTTTATTATAGTTGATATTTTAAATAAGTATATGATTTAGTGTTTGTCATAGATATAAACTCAAAATAGCGTACCGTTCATAGGCTCAGTAATGAACAGAACCGGCCCTGTATAATACGGAGTATGATTAAACCTTAAAAGCTAAGTAGAAAAGGTTTGCAGGAAATTGAGAAATCCTAAATTGTTCAGCAACGGAGAATGCTGACCTCTTCAATTGTTCCAAAAGGTGGAATCTCCCACCCAGGAGTCCCCCCACCCCGACCCGACAGGATAGTGGGAAGGTTAGTCACGGTGACTCAGTCAGCAGAATGGCAGTAGGCCCATACACCCGTGCGCACCAGAGGTCCAGCCTTATTTCAGGTTCTGTGACCTCCACCCGGTCGTTGCGGGGATTCGAACCTTGATCCATTGTTCCAAATCTCCCACCACTCGACCAACTGAGCTACCCGTGCGGGCTCAGTATTGTTAGGGGAGGGCTTGGGCAGTTTGGTTTAATCACTATGGCAAGGATCGTCCTAGAGCCGGCGCCACAAAAGGTAATTAATTAAAACTATAGTAAAAGAAAACAACCCTAATTAATATACGTACTCTATAATAATGAATGACCAATTAAGTAATTCTCCATTCATCCCGAAAAACTTTGTCAAATTGACTTTTTCTTGATCGATGATAATCAACTTTGAACATGAAAATTATGCCAAAATGTTCCTTGTTCAAAATGCTTTCATAAAAATATAAAATTCACAAATTATATGCAAATCTAACAATTAAAATCATTGTTCAAAATTTATTGTCATTAACTAAGAAAAGTCAATATGACGAACCTTTTCGCACGGAGGAAATACTAGCTAGTACTCCGTACATTACAATTATTACCTTGCCTGGTGCAGGTTAAATTGATACAAGTGCTGTATTTGAATTTCACGGAGTTCTCTAGAGATCAAGAGCTCCTAATAACTTCAGAAAATACATTTGATTGTATAGAAGGAATGGTGGAAAAGAATAGCTCAGATGAACTGCCAGGTTTTTGCCTAGAAGTAGCAAAATATTTCAACAGCATCGATGACCTAAAAACTGTGACACCGATATATGTCCTACACACACTCTATCACCAATTTTATGTAACAATTTTGTATCATCAAATTTTAATTGAATTTTAATTGTATCATTAAGTAGAAGTTAACTTTTTCATAGGCCAAACTTTCTAATCCACAATAAGACTATCACTTTAGCATATGAAGGCTATTGTCTTTAATCAAGATATATCATCATGATTCCTTCCATTAAGTATCTCAACCCAGCCTTTAAGGTGCCGTGCTTCTAGACATTTGTTTAATTGACTTATGCTTGCCGGGTTTTTTTACCCAAGGGAGTGGGGGAGGGCCTAGGGTAAACTCGAACCAAACTCACTCTATTGAATATTGAATCTGAGATCTCCCAAAGAGAGAGTGGGTTGATGACCGGCTGAACTGGACTACTTCTATAAATTAAATAAGAAGTGTCAATCTATAGGTCAATTTTGTTTGAAGGAGTGCACGCTCTAAAAACTATATACTCCGGTATATATGATCGAGTTTGTGTTGAACTGTTCCTGTCAAATCAAGTTATACAATGTTTATATATGATAGATTACTATTCATATACCAAGCTCTCTTAGATTAATATTCATATACGGAGTACTACACATGTAGTATATTTTTTCTTATGGATACGTATATTGTGCAGGAAATCCACACATTGTTGTCCAAATTAAGATACATTAATATATCAACACTAACTACTACAGAATCTACCTATGTAGAATTCTTAGAAAGGGTTTATACAACTGAGCTATTGTTGAGGAACATTGGGTTGTGGGAAGGAGGAGACGTGGCACACTTATGGCTCGAACTTTTCGTGCCTCAAAGCAAAATACAGACTTATGCTTCGCAAGTTTTTTGCAATATCCTCTCAGATACAAACGCAGGACCTGTTCTTATCTACCCCTTCAACAAATCAAAGTATGTAAATGTAGTAACAAAAGTATATATATACTCTTCCCATTCAATTTACTCGTCTTATTTTCCTTTTTAGCTTGTCTCATAATAAGTTACATTTTCATTTTTGAAAAGAAATATATGGTGTATAACATTTCACTTTATTATACTCGAATTTCAACCACACATTTTACTTTATCAACCACTTTTTTAACAACTGCGTCAAACCAAAGTAGGACACATAAAATATGATAGAAATAGTATATAGCATAATATATACTTGTACACTTCAACCCTTTTACGTTATGGGAAATTTCTCAAATTGCGAGTTAAGTATGATTTTGAATTCATATTGTCATATTATCTGTTACCAAACATTAAAAATAACATACCCAATTTATGAACTAACTAGTTAATTATGTCAATATGATTCCAGAATGACGACGTTTCTATTTAAGTATCGAAAGTATAATTAGTTTTTGTTATGATAATAAAAATTTCAGGTTTGACAACAAAACATCACTCGTTTTTCCCGACAAGGATATTTTTTATTTGACATCATTTCTTCCACGCACAAACCTCTCATCCAATGGGACAGATGGGTTGGAAAAGGGGAGGAATGAAAGACATAAAATCTTAGATTTCTGTGAGTCAGCGAAGATTGGAGTGTATCAATACTTTCCTTTCTATGAGACACAAGAAGAGTACAAGGAGAAACACTATGGGCCAGAACGGTGAAAGGTGCTTTCAGAGAGGAAATCAAAGTATGACACTTCATGTACTCTAGCGCTCGGCCACAACATTTTTAATTTCACCAACTGTCCGGGTCTGACCACCGACTTGCCTTAACTTTTAAGGGCCAGGATTCGTCAAACCAATAAGAAACAATAATATGTACGTGGAGCTAAGGTACATATGAATGACGGATTGCCAGTGGCTTGAACATGTAAGCGGTGCCAGTTTACGTACCGGCGGCGAGCGCATATAGAGATATACAGAGACGATATTATACACAAAAAGGCTTTGATTTTACCTACATGCTACCAACTCTATCGTATGCTAGATACATGTACAATATATACATACATGGAATCAAATAAAAATATTTATTTATATATGAAGTAGTATATATGTACATTTGAGGATTCGGGGACCCGGCCTCATTTTGTGTAACAATTCTTCTACATACAAAGGGATGGATATATAGTTATCCCGAGTCAGACGCCACTTATGATATAAAGATCTTTTTACTTTGACCAGAAATTTTCCGATTTGGTCCAATAAATGTCTGATTGTTGTGTAATTTACAACTAAAGAAAACTGGTATGTTAAAAGTTTGGTCTTGGTATTTAAGTCTGATATAACCTCATCTAGTTTGGTTTGGTTTGGTTTGGAACTGAAAACGGTTCAACTAAAACATCCTAAAAGAGTGTTTTAATTTCTTTAATTCTTAAGGATCAAATAAGTCATCTACTAGTACAAATTGTTCATTTCCCACCCCAAGTTAGAAAAGCACTCACCCAGATCATCAACCTTTCAAAACAATCAAATGTTTTCTTCAGCAGGTAATTAAACACTCATTTTAAAGCTTTGTCTTGGGTAAACTCCCATTTTGAATTATTAATAGCATAAGATTTCATAATAAATGAACTAAAACAATATAAACAGTTACATAACAACCGATAACTTAAATTATGATGCCAATAAATGAAATACGAATAAGTATACAACAACAATATCCAACACACACATTAATCCTATGTTAGCAAAAAAAATCATGATCCAATATTCATTTAGAAAATCCAGATCATCATACATAAACAATAAATCAAAATTACGGGTACTACATAACAACGTTCTAATGAGAAAATGAACCATTCTTGGAGTCTAAGGAGTCTTTGGAAGATTTCAGTATTGGAAACAATTTGAAAGATCAATTCATCTTGATTTAAATTAAAAAATGGAAGCCATATCTCGTCTTGCAAGTTATCATCTACAAGTTGTGAGAATAATAAACAGACTTAACGAGACTGATAGCCTTGACAATATATTTATAATGAAATAAGTTTCCAAATACAACTAAGATATTGTCTAATTATTAATGTTAATTAATTCTACACTATTACACCCCATCAATCTATGCAAGAGGAACTATGTGTATTGTCTCGTAAAAATAGAAACTGCTAAGGAGCCAAACTCTTGGTAAAAGTATTTGCTAGATGAAACTTTGTTGGAACATATTGCACCAGAAGATCCCCATGAGTCACACGTTCCCGAACAAAGTGATAATCAATATCAATGTGCTTACTTCTAGCATGCTGGATCGGATTAGCAAACAAGTATGAGGCAGATACATTATCACATAAGAGATGAACCGACCGATGGATAGGAAAGCCAAGCTCGAACAGAATGGACCGGATGTGTAAATTTTCTTGAACCGTATATGCAATGGTTCTACACTCAACTTCAGTGGAGGATCTGGAGACAATGGGTTGCATCTTGGAGCGCCATGATATGATATTTAATTTGGACCCAGAAAAACAACATAGCCAGATGTGGAGCGGCTACTATCAAGAGAACCAGCCCAATGAGCATCAGAGTACGCCAAAACTGGACGGGGATGTGCTGAGGGCCGTGGATGTAGACCGTGCGTGAGAGTGCCCTGTAGGTACCTGAAAAATCTCTTTAGAGCCAACATGTGTGAAGTACGAGGAGCATGCATAAATTGAGACACCAAGTGAACATCATATGTAATTTGAGGCCTAGTCATAGTAAATACTGCAATGCACCTATCATGTTACAGTACTCGGTAGGATCAACAAGGAACTCATCATCAATGAGAGAGAGCTTAGTTCTGTTAGGTAGTGGCGTGCGAACAACTTTAGTTTAAGGGTATGGAGATGAAAACGAGTGAGAAGATCTGAGACACATTTAGCTTGAGATAAAAAAAACCAGAGGAATTTCGCACAGCCTGAACCCCCAAGAAAAAATGAATATCTCCTAGATCTTTCATAGCAAAATATTTCCCTAAAAGAGAAATAAAATAACTACTGAATGGTGAGGAATTGCCAGTTACAATAATGTCATCCACATATACGAGCAAATAAATTATATGAGTACCCTAACGGAAAATAAACAAAGAATTATCAGCACTACTACACACAAAACCATGAGTCAAAAGAAAACTACTGAAACGGTAAAACCATGTCTTGGGAGCTTGTTGGAGACCATATATAACCTTGCACAAGCGACAAGTATGATTAGGAAATTGAGGATACACAAACCCGGCCAGGTACAACACTACAACAAAAAGTGTCATTTGCGTCAACTTCTGGACACGAAAAACTTACTAAAACATTATATTGTTGATGGTATGTGTGTTGACGCAAATAAGGTGTAGTATTTACGAAATAAGGAACATCAAAACCCTAACAGCAGCAGAGCAATCGCCCCCAATAGATGAAATACGGAGTATCTGACGAGCACTTTGTCACGGTGCGTCAAAATAAATTCAATACTAAACACTTATACGTAGTATAGGTGAAGTAGAGTTTGTATCCACATGGAAAGGAATAATTCTCTTTTTATGAACTTACTGAATAAAAAGGGGGGTTTTGGGTTTGAATGATTTAATTTAATTAAGAACTAAGATGAACAACCTATATGCGTTTAATTCAAAGATAAAAAGGACTTGACATTGCTACTTTCCACTTGTTGATATATTTTAGTCGATCATCGTCATATCTATAACTTATTCCCTTTCAAATACTCAATCGGGGAGTATATCCACTTCATCGAGGGTAGTTATTAACAACAACCGTTCATTAATAACCCTTACTATTAATCAAATATAGAACAACGCCTTATACCGATTTAATAGTAGCATTTAATCTTTCTAACTCCTTGATGAAATCAATCGAGATTGATAACCTCAACACAACGGTTTCGGTTTAATCAACAAAATTAATCCCTCTTAAGTTTATTAACCACGACCGTGCATTAATAAACCGAAGTTACTTACTTGTGAAACCATCAACGATTAACCATCGGTTCGTTGATCGTTTCTAGTAATAATTAATATATGAAACAAAACTAGTTGATCATGTAAGTAATGTTCAAAATATTAATATGAAATATGAATAGGAATTAATTAATATTCAAGGAAGAATATTATTAAAGAAGATGAATCCTACTCTAATTAATATCAAGATGTTAACTAATTGTCATCTTAGCAACACTCCCCAACATTAATATAGAGGAAGAAAATACCATTCTAACTAATGTCGAGATGTTAACTAATTGTCATCTTAGCAACACTCCCCAACATTAATATAGAGATGGTATTAAGGAAAGAACTATTAATTAATATTCAAGGAAAGAAGTTAAGAAAATAACTCACAACTTTAATAATCAACAAGCTTCAAGAGCAACACCAAGAATTGGAAGTTTAGCTCCTCATTTGGAGACTAAACATAGCTAGAAAAATATAAAGAAATGCTATTCTAAACTGAGCTTAAGAGTATGGAAGAAGGGATTGGATAAAAGTGAAGGAAAAGTGTGCTATTTATAGGTGTTTTCAACACCCTATGGAGGATACCCGACCGGGTAAAAGGACATACCCGACCGGGTAAATATCAAAATCAGATATTCTCCACGTTCTGGTGATCTTCGGCACGTTCTGGTGTTCCGGGTCAAGTCTGACCCGACCGGGTAGCATGGGGGACCCGACCGGGTCCAGCTCTTTCATTGAAATTTCGGTTGTTAAATGAGACCCGACCGGGTGAAGTCTTCTACCCGGTCGGGTATTTGCTCCTGGACAGTAAAACCTCCTTTTTCTTCACTTCAAAGTCATCCTTTTCAACACCATAATTCCTAATTCTACTTTACAACTTACAAATGAAGATTAAAATACAATTACAACTAAAATCACACAAATGTTGACAAACTAAATAAAACGATAAACAATACACATAAATCAAACATAAAAATATACATTTATGCACTACTAATTAGTGCATATCAAATACCCCCACACTTCAAGCTTTACTCGTCTTGAGTAAACCAAATCCAGTCCAAGAAGTCCTTAAAATGAAAAGGGTATCAACACAAAAATCTATGAGTGTTTTTAGAAACACACAAAGTATATCCCCAAAAATATAACAGTCAAGAGGGGTCTTCAACTCCATATTTCTTATCAACCTCAACTCTTTTTTTCGTTACCCTTAGGATCCTACAGAAAATAAAAGAAAATACTTTCTCTCGTTTCTCTCATTTTGCCTAGGTGCCCTTTCGGGTTTTCATCCCAGCTTCCCATATTTTTCTATTTTAATCCTCATAGGAATCACTAATAGGAATCACGGTGTCTACAGGTTGCAGATAAAAGTAGTGTACAGTAAAAGTGTTGTTTTGAAGCATGTTGTAATATACAAAAATTTGGAGTAATAAATAAGAATTGCCGATGATAGTAGTGTATTGTAAAAGTGTAGTTTTGTAGCATGTTGTAATAACCTTCGTTGGTATTGACTCTTTGAATAATATCTTGTATTGCAATTTCGAGTGATAATTAAAAATCAATCACAATTTTTATTCAGTTGTAATATTGCAACATCATTTGCATATTGCAATGATATAAAAATTGGTTGGAATATATGCCTTGTAACTTGCAATAACATTTGCAACATAATTCAAAATTAATCGTGATTTATTCTCTTGCATTATTACAACATCATTTGCAATGGTGCAAAATTCTATTGCAATATATGCAACGGAATTTGCAACTTAAGTTCCATTGCATGGTTGCAACGGAAAACCTTCATTGCAATTTTTGCTATGGAAAATGCAAGCACAATAAACTCGTTGCAAGTATCGCAATGAAAAATGGTGTGCTGTGATTGTCATTGCATTTCATTACAACGGGTTCAATTTACGTTGCAAAAAATTGCAAGGACCTATTTAGCAATGGAATTGCGTTTGTTGCATTTCTTGTTGCAAATCAAGATTTGCAACGAAATTCAATAATTTTGCAATGAAACTTGTCCATTGCAATTCGGTAATTTTCTTGTAGTGTCACAACTCACTCTTATTTGTTTTTTATTTTTTTTGCTTTATTTTTACTTAAGTTGCCCTTTCAGGTTTTGCAACTTAACAAGCTTTTATAATTTTTTTAACAAGAATAAAGAGTATGAATGTGAGTATTCCATAAGACTCTCCCCCCAAGCTAACCCAAGCACTGTCCCTAGTGCTTGTGTCTGTGATGTCCTAGAAGAGGAACCCTTTTGTGGTGACATTTCTTTATTTGTTGGTTGAGGAATTTTCGGACTTTGTGTAGGGTGAGTAAGAGGATTTGGATTTTTGGTTATTTGGGAGGTTTTTTTTGTGGGTGCAGTAGTGAAGAGGGTGATGAGGAGATGAAGAGAAAAAGGGTTTATTTGGTTGATTTGGTGGAGAAAATGGTGGAAAAGGAGTATGGGTTTGGAATTTGGAAGAAATGAAGTGAGGAAGAGGGTGGTGTGTCCGCCCCTTATCGGGCATTTACCCGTTTGCCCGGCCAGGTAGAGTAAGAGACCCGATCGGGCCTAAGTGCTCGTTATCCAGAGAGTGTTTTAACAAAAACACCCGGCCGGGTATAGTTGTTGACCCGGTCGGGTTATTTGCCCAAGGGGCCGGGTCTTTGCCGGAAAAAATTTCCGTCCGGGCGAGGTTATGCGGGTAGGGTATTTTTACTCTATACCCGACCGGGCGTAGTGTGGTACCCGGCCGGGTATGTTCCCCAGGCAATTTTTTTTTTGAAGCGTAAACTTAAACTAGAATAAAAAGTAAACATACCTTACATGGGTTGCCTCCCAAGAAGCGCCTTATTTAACGTCGCGGCACAACGCCATCGTTGTGTTCAATCATTCAAGCTTGGATCGTGATAACTCATCTTCTTCAATTTTTCACCCGGGTGACTCTTATAGAAAGACTCAGTTTTTCGACCCTTCATTTTGACCTTTCCGGGATCAAATATCCATATTTCTATCGCTTCATATTGTGAGAGTGTTGGCCCATGATTTTCATTAAGCATGGTCAATGGAAGGGGTTTTGATCCGGGTGGTATAAGAGGGAGTATGAAATATTTGTGTAATCCCACCGTTATTCCTTGCTTATTTGTGATCAAAGAGAAGTCTAAATTATACTCACAATTGCTGAAGATTTCATAGATATCTTTGTCCTTCTCCACCCTTTGTGTTTCCCTTAGAGCCTCAGGAAATGGTGGCATGTTCTCAGGAATGACCGATGATGGAGTTGAGTTTTGAAGTTTCTCCTCCTCTGGTTGACCTCCCTTCGTAAGCTCCTCTTCTTCTTCCTCCTCGCCAATGTGGTTCACAATGTTTGGCACTTGTTTCAATTGATTCTCCAAGTTCAGTTCTTTGAGCGTTATTTCTTGCGGGTATTGTGACATATCTTGTTGCATTTTTGTCACATTGATAGTGAGAGCTCGGATCATGTCTTCAGTGGACATGCTGGAATAAGAACTTGAGTATGGATTATATGTGTTGGAGAATGAATCATACCTCTCTTGGAAAACAACATCATCACTCTGTTCAAAGTATTCTTGTTGAAGCTTGGGGCAAAAATCCGTAAGATGCCTTTGTGACATGCAAATGTTGCAGGCCTTGGTATCTTGAACGTTTGAGCATAAGAGAAACTCCTTTACTAAAAATTTTAAGCTAGAAATTTGACTCTCTAGCGATGATGTGTTGGTATCCATTTACTCATATAAGCTCAGAAAATAGAAGAGCAAGATTTTTTTTTATATTATTTTTGTTTTTTATTTTTATGAGATAAAATAAAAACAAAAGTAATTGCCTTTCCCCGGCAACGGCGCCAAATTTGACGAGCACTTTGTCACGGTGCGTCAAAATAAATTCAATACTAAACACTTATACGTAGAATAGGTGAAGTAGAGTTCGTATCCACGGGGAAAGGAATAATTCTCTTTTTATGAACTTAATGAATAAAAAGGGGGGTTTTGGGTTTGAATGATTTATTTTAATTAAGAACTAAGATGAACAACCTATATGCGTTTAATTCAAAGATAAAAAGGACTTGGCATTGCTACTTTTCACTTGTTGATATATTTTAGTCGATCATCGTCATATCTATAACTTATTCCCTCTTGAATACTCAATCGGGGAATATATCCACTTCATCGAGCGTAGTTATTAACAACAACCGTTCATTAATAACCCTTACTATTAATCAAATATAGAACAACACCTTATACCGATTTAATAGTAGCATTTAATCTTTCTAACTCCTTGATGAAATCAATCGAGATTGATAACCTCAACACAACGGTTTCGGTTTAACCAACAAAATTAATCCCTCTTAAGTTTATTAACCACGACCGTGCATTAATAAACCGAAGTTACTTACTTGTGAAACCATCAACGATTAACCATCGGTTCGTTGATCGTTTCTAGTAATAATTAATATATGAAACAAAACTAGTTGATCCTTTAAGTAATGTTCAAAATATTAATATGAAATATGAATAGGAATTAATTAATATTCAAGGAAGAATATTATTAAAGAAGATGAATCCTACTATAATTAATATCAAGATGTTAACTAATTGTCATCTTAGTAACACTCCCCAACATTAATATAGAGGAAGAAAATACAATTCTAACTAATGTCGAGATGTTAACTAATTGTCATCTTAGTAACACTCCCCAACATTAATATAGAGATGGTATTAAGGAAAGAACTATTAATTAATATTCAAGGAAAGAAGTTAAGAAAATAACTCACAACTTTAATAATCAACAAGCTTCAAGAGCAACACCAAGAATTGGAAGTTTAGCTCCTCATTTGGAGACTAAACATAGCTAGAAAAATATAAAGAAATGCTATTCTAAACTGAGCTTAAGAGTATGGAAGAAGGGATTGGATAAAAGTGAAGGAAAAGTGTGCTATTTATAGGTGTTTTCAACACCCTATGGAGAATACCCGACCTGGTAAAAGGACATACCCGACCGGGTAAATATCAAAATCAGATATTCTCCACGTTCTGGTGATCTTCGGCACGTTCTGGTGTTCCGGGTCAAGTCTGACCCGACCGGGTAGCATAGGGGACCCGACCGGGTAGCATAGGGGACCCGACCGGGTCCAGCTCTTTCATTGAAATTTCGGTTGTTAAATCAGACCCGACCAGGTGAAGTCTTCTACCCGGTCGGGTATTTGCTCCTGGACAGTAAAACCTCCTTTTTCTTCACTTCAAAGTCATCCTTTTCAACACCATAATTCCTAATTCTACTTTACAACTTACAAATGAAGATTAAAATACAATTACAACTAAAATCACACAAATGTTGGCAAACTAAATAAAACGATAAACAATACACATAAATCAAACATAAAAATATACATTTATGCACTACTAATTAGTGCATATCAGTATCGTTCAAGCCTCCAAGGGTTGGTCTCCCAAGCTATGGAGGCGCTTCGGCAACAGCTGGCGCATGCTCGGAGGACATCGCAGGCCTCCACATGAATCTCCGAGTACATGGATAGTCGGGGATAGACTTTGGAGATCGCAGGAACAACACCACCGAGCAACTACTCGGACACAACTTTGCTTCGAGCTGGGAGCCAGCACACCTTTGCAGATCCTCGTGAGGTTTGTTTTTAGCTGCTACAGAAGGCTTCGAAATCTCTATTGAAAGAAAAAATCAATTCTATATTTATTGCAGCTCTATTCATATATCTGAATCAAAAAATAGGCTTACATCTTCTATAGATCCTGTTTACATTCTAGTTTGCTGTCAGGTTGTTTTATGAATCTCAGTCTCATTATAGGTTCAATTTTTTTTATTCTGCTCACAAAGGAACAACTTATTAACAATTTGAATATGATTTTTATTTAATTCATTGTGCAGGACCGGTAACAGCAGGAGATGGAAGTATGTTTCATTTGATTCAATTCAAATATTCCAGACTCATGAGTTGTTCTCTCATAGCGGACTGCTTGTCTATGACTTCAAAGGCGATGAGTCTTGGCAGGTGTGTGATGATTGTGTGTATAACAATTCATAGTCTTGTCGACGCAAACAACACTCTTTCCTGTAGTGCGGTGATTGAGCTCTGGGTGTGTACCAGCACAAGGGTGCTGACTCCGCTCGGTCTGTGCTCATCATCCTCTCCGTAGCCCCTGGGCCACTACCGGCTTACTGGATCAAGGGAGCTGGGGCCAATCGTACGCTTAGTGGAGATGAGCGTCTGGCTAGGCATCTCGATGGATCGTGCCCAAATTGGGCCCTGATGGTTTATCTGCTAAGGGGTAATGGGCCGATCCACGGTCGGGCCTATTAACCCAACACCTATATATATAATGCACAATTTTCAAATCCAACGTTCCGGTTCATATATAGAAATATTGCTAGAGTAATTTATTTGAATAATTACTATACATTATCCTCCATTACGTTTTAATCGCAACATATTGAATTTTACGCTATTATTTTATGAAAATTATTTTTTTTTTAAAATATTGTTCAATCCATCTCATTACAAATTTTTAAAATCTGAATTTTAATATTTTTTACTAATATAATTAAAATATAATTACGGTCAAAGACATGCGTTGGCAAATATGAAATATTGACCGTTGCAACTAAAAAGAACGGAGGGAATATAAAAAACAATAGTTCAACAAGGGTTGTAAAATAATGAATATATTTGAACACTATTTTGGTAGTAAAGCATCAACATTGAAGATAGTGAAAGAAAAAAATAGATGTTTATTTTTTGGTTTACTCATGGACAGAATCACGAGTCACCTCAACCCCACGTGTGATACTCCCTCCTCAAAATCAAACTCCGGCTATGAACTATTTCCGCATCCACAAAACTCTCATCTGAAATCCTTCCCAACGAAACATCACAGCCTTCCCTTGCATCCTAACGCCCAACGGAGAACAAAGCTTGAGGAAGTCACACTGGGACCGACTGAGAAGTTAGAGACCGGAATGGAGGAAAGGTTAGGGTTTTGTTGTACTCTTATTTTGGGCTCTTATCGATTTTACAGAACAAACTCTATAGCTTAATGGAAATAGAATACTCTATATTTTTCAAAACAAGCTCTACCTAGCAGAGCCTCTATATAATCGGATTTGAAGTTGAAAATTCCATGTTTTGGATAGTTATTAAGATTAATGGGTGGATTCTTATTGGTTAGATTCTTTTTTCATTCTGTGACATTTCATTCCAGAGGCTATGAGCACTAAATGTTATTAATGGGTGGATTCCAATATATTAACAGAATATGTAATATATTAACTAGGCACTCAACCAGTTGACTACTAAATGTTTGGAGGCTCGAAGTATGATCCGTAGGCGACAAATTTGGATTTGAGACTTATGATAACATATCATCATTTGAAACTTCCTTCACTTCATCTGTAGCAGAGTGTTCTAAACCATTGTTATTCATTAGGTCTGTACATTGTTCTATATTGTTTGTGACTCATGATTCTGTCTGTGACAGGGCTCTAAAGTTAAAAATTCCGCTTAAAGACTATTTCCCAGCTCAGTACTCGGTGTGCGGCAAATATAATGAGGCATCTAATCTGATAAAATCATGCTTATCCGCCAAACAATTGCAACTGTTCCGCCAGCTATCATGGGGCCATCTTGTGGATGTCCCGAAGATTCAATTTTCTGCCCAAATAGTTCATGTGCTGCTTTTACGCCTTGTGGAGGAACAACCAGAAGATGAACTCTGGTTTTGCGTTCAAGGAAAGGTCTTAAAGTTTACCTTTGCTGTTTATTGTCACATAACCGGTCCATTACAAAAAGGTGGGAAACACATTGGTTCGAAGGGACGAAGGGGATGAAGAGCGGGAGGGTGGCGATGAAGAGATGAGTGAAGCCCAACCGGCAGCCCGGCCACGGCGGACCATGACACAGAGCCTTGACTATCTCATCGACTCCATAGACCACATGCTCACAAGGATGGATGTCTATGAGACTCGGCAAGAGGAGCTTTACACCCGCTATGATTCTTTTGAGGCCCGCCAGGCAAGAATCGAGGAGCATTTGGAAGGATATGACCAAAGGTTCAAGCAATTTACCCACCACTATTACGGTCAATATGGGAACCCCCCTCCCGGTCCACAATATTGAACCTCTTTTGTTGCTATTTTCTGTGATACAATCTTCTCAAAACAAACTTTACTGTGGATGTTGATTGAAGTACTTGTTTATCATGCATCATCATACATTGGGACAATGTATCTTAAGTGTGGGGGGTGCATTCATGATGGTTAAACAAATTTTTTGTGCAAAATATTTTTTTTAGGAAGGTAAAAATTGTTCTCTCTCTCTTTTTAATGAGTATTTGGTTGGACTTTTTTTTATTATTACTCACAAAACTATCATTTTTTTAGATTTATTACACTACTTTTTACTCTTGAAAATCATTCCCAAAAAGAAACCTTGTGACTAGGAAACATCATCTCCTTTCATCTCCCAAAATGGTTTAGATACACCTCAAATATTAAAAAAAACATTTTGGAGTACAAGCCACCCACATATCTCATCAAATAATTTGGGACTACAAATGACATTTAGTAAATACTTGTTTAGAACCATTCCAAATGAGTTTTAAAAAAAACTCATGGTCTCTTCCATGGATTTCAATTGATCCATTTCTATACTGAAAAGTCAAAATTCCCAAAAGAAAACCACTCTACACATCCAAAAAAGCCTCAATCACAATCCACTCATCAATTCAAGAGTATAAGTCATTTTTCTAAATCTAATGATATTTTTTTGTGTGAAATAGATAAAAGGGTTTTGGACCGAGAATGATAAAAGAGTCCATATACGTTTTTACCTCTCTTAAAAGAAAAATTATTCTTGTACTTATATTTTTGTTGAAGTAACCAAGGCATCCAAAGGTGACAACATTGCTCGAGGACTAGCAACGCTCAAGTGTAGAGGAATTTGATAAGCACAATAATTACTTATGTTTTACATAGTTAATTATATGTATCTGTACAAAAATATAGAGCGAAAACAGGTAAATGTTCCAAATTGAGCAAAAGTGTGGAATATGGCTAGCAGCGACAAATACGAGATCAAAAGTCAAAAGGGATCGAAAATTAGCACGTCAGAATCAATCACGAAGACAGAAATAAGAAGAAAGAGTAAGCGCATGTTTTGGCGCAATGACCGGCGTCGATCATCAGGGAACCGGCGCCAGTTGTATCGTTTGTTCACGAAAAATACAGGGAACCAGCGCCGATCAGACCAGAACCGGCGCCGGTTGGGTCGGATTCTGCTAAAACACAGCAACGTGCAAGAGGATTTTTAATGGGAAAACTCCATCTTCCTCAATGCTAATCAAATATTGCTTCCATACCTGATTGTTGGGTTCAAATAGACTAAAAGATGATATTCTTTAGCCTATACAAAGCCCTCAATTCATCAAACAAAACATTCCATTCCATATATTAATTCCTAGTTTTTATACTTGTTCTTGCTATTTTTCTTCAAGATATTTCGGGGAAGAAGCTATTTCTCTCCTCTACGATTGGTTCTAGGTAATTTTTCTTGTATGTTATTTTATTTCCTTGTTCTTAGTTACACTTTTGTAATTAATATGAGCATTAGTAGCTAATTTCTTAGCTAAGATTAGGGATGAACTTCTATGCCCACTAGGTGTTTGATAAAAGTTCTAAACCAATAAATTGTGATTTATCCTTTATATATTGATTGTTTATGACTATGGTGTACAACATAGAAGTGTGTAAAATTTAGTTTATACTTGCAATTAACGTTGAAGACTAAAGTATGAACATTAAAGGATAAACATTTATAGTATCGAGAATAGAAATATATCCGGTCTTATATGATACGGGTGTGATGTCTTGATATTCAACGGGGTTTTCGGTAGATGAATGTAAGCCATAACGGGACTTACACGTAACAAAAACCACACTCTCGTTGCCTTGACCGGAGTTGAGAATATATTAGCGACATCGTATTCATAATTATTGGCAAAGAACTAATATTCAACCCTATTTAAGCATTTAAGTGATTCTTGAAGCCTTAGTTGTTATTATCAATCACTGTAAACTCAAATTAATTTAAGTTATATCCCTAAAAATTAAAGAGAAGAACCAAGTTGTTTCACAACAACACACAAATCAAATCCCTGCACTTTACTCATTTCTTTATTTAAAGTTATCTACTCTCGGACTTGAACTAAACAACGTTTCCCTGTGGATTCAACCCGGTATTTTATCGGAATTTATTACTATATCGACACTTGTACACTTGCAAGTTTAGCCCGATCACTAAATAATTGAAATGATCATATGAGGTTACTTTAGAAAAAAGTATTATATATGCTCAAATTAAGATGCACACTGCACACTAATCCCTCACCAGATGCATCTTTTGTTTTTTTTGTTTCTCAAATTTAATGTATTCTTTTAATATTTGTATGGTTTACTTACCTCAGATTCATCTTCAGTCCCCATCACATTCTCCTCGACCCTTAAAAAAATTAAAATAATTACTCTATAAAATATACAACACTAAATAGAATATGCCATAGTTTTTGTTATGTATACCATATCATCATGCACTTCTTTTTCAATCTCCGCACAGAATTCTGTTATGCTGCCCCATTGCGTCGGTTGTTCTTGTGTTAGTCCAATTGAAAATGAGGGCAGCTCTTCTATTTCTTTTGCGTACAATGTCTTCTTCATATTTTCTCTTTCAACCCTCTCAACTGCACTTATTGTTTCAGCCCAAAAAGAAGCATCTTCTATCTCTGCGGTACATCTAACATCTATTTCTTCCACACATGTTGATCACATCAACAACAGTTTCTGTCAGCAATTTGCTTTTATTTGAGAATCGGATCACAAATTCCTGTAAATAATATTCATGTTTAAATTTATGTGAGCTGCACACACATTCTATATATAATGCATCACCTTTTAAAACATATGCACTACATGCCCAATTAAAAAACATTTACAAATTATGCACTAATGTTTTTTAAAACAATACCTCAGCAATTTCAGTAGGAGTAGATTGCACCAACGTTCCTTGGCTGCTTGCACCTTTGCCATCTGTTTTATTTTTAGAATTCAATTCATGTTCATTGAACACCCTTCAATACTCATTGGCTCTTCGCAGTAGCCCATCCCAAATCCCCCAGTCTCTATTTCGATCAATTTTCTATCTCTAAATAGTTTTCCGCTCCACCCTTTCAGAACTGGTGAAGTTCTCCCCATTTTTCGTTTTTGTAAGACAATACGGTCCACATAGAACAACTGCACAAAAAATGTTTCTTAATATAGTGTAGCATTAAAGAACAAATAAAATTTAAAACCATATACATAAAATATATTTGTTTAACTTACTATTAAAAACAACAATGGGCCAATAAAGGCTTTTTCTTTCTTCTTCTCCCATGAAACTTTGTTCTCAATTAAACAATTAAGAACGTGGTCACACCAATTCAGTTCACTAATCTTATCAACATCTTCCAATTGGTTCATTATGATTGGATTCACATACCCATTTTGTGTGCTATCAAGTAGCAAATACACAACAAGGACAATGAAATGCCTTTTGAACCAGTCACCTCCTTCACTCCTGCTAAGCATGGCAGCACTAACATCGGATGGGCTAATCTTTGATTCTTCTTTGTTAAATATTGCTCTCCAGTCTTACAGAAAACACAGTCTTCATTTTTCTTCTTTTGGACAATTGTTTTTCCTCCTAAAGGGAACCCCAATACTCTTGCCACATCAAGCTCTGTTATATGCACATTAGTCCCATCTGGCAGCACTAATGAGCATTTCTTTGGATCAAAGCTGTCCACCACCCAATAACCTAGCTTCCCAGGGATTTCAGCAATATCCAGATCAAACAATGCACCAAATCCTATACTTTTAGCATCTGCTTTCTTAGCTTCGGTAATCCCACTCAGAGCTTTAGCTAAAACATGTGGTGATGATCTCGTACGTATTGACCTATATCCATATTTGATCTCTTTTATAATTATTTTCTTGGCCTTATTTTCAACCAACTCTGTATCGACACCACCATGACGGGGTTGAACCTCAATGTCATCACCACTTTCTTGTTCTTCTCCTTATTTTCTCTGTCTCTTTACTATAATCTGTTCAGATTCATTCCCACCTGACTCATTGGATCTCTTTCCCTTAGCTTTCCTAACACTCTGCAATCTTGTTCCCCGCATATCTGAAATTTGAAAAACAATGTACCTTTTTAACTTATTCATGCATTCCTATAAATAGAAACGCATATAACACGATTTTCTTTATTAACTACCATTTACAGTTGAAATAATACTACCCAATTTACACTTTAATGCCATGCACATATGTACAAGGGATTTTGCGCACATAATAAGGAATAACAATTCATTCACAATTTTAAGATACACTATGCACTTTATGTACATATATAAGCACATTAGTAAATTAGAATCACACTTTAAGATACATATGTATTTCACATTCTACACGCACACAATGCACAATTACAACACATCAACTTTTCTTTAACAGACCAACACACAACATATATTCCACTGCACTTTACTGTATTACAATGGCTAATACAAGGACTTTTTCATACATAATAATGAAACATTCATTCACACTGTTAATATCCACAATGTACATTATGAACATACATAAACACGTTATGGACTCTAAATGACATTCTCAGATGCACACAATGCATATTTTGAACACATGAACTTACCTTCAACTAAGGTACACAAAACAAATATGCCACTGCACTTTATATTATTACAATTTCACTTTTCATTACAGACCCTAAATCTTACTAACTGATGTAAGAAGTATATATTTTAGAACTTTTAACATAACTGCATGCACTATACCGCTGCTTTTCAGTAAAAAAACTTGTTCATTACCCAATTTCAACAATTTTGCAGTCCTTCATCCAAAAAAAACATTCAAAACCTTTCTGCTCAACATAATTTTAACGATTTAGCAGTCCTTCATCCAACACTACTTCATACATTAATCAGTTTTTACACTAAACTACTGCACATTCCTATCACAAGAGTCTCGCTTAAATCCAAAAAAATCACTTTTCAAAATATCTATTGCACAAGACTCCAAAGAAGTTCAACCAAAACGTATACTATCAACATGCATTCAATCTAAACAAAATAAAAACCCCAAACCTATAGTCACCAAGTGACCTTCGCAACTAGAAAAACATGTTCCACTCTTGCCACTTCCTGATGCTCC